TATATATATATATATATATATATATATATATATATATATATATATATATATATATATATATATATATATAATGTTATATATGTTATAATGTTATATACTTGATTTACTTTAGGTTACCTCAGTAACCTAAGTCTAAGGAATGTATTATAAAATATTTTCATTATCGTGTTTCTCCTTCAATAAGAATTTTTCCGCAACAAGTTTTCTCACAACCGCGTTTAATATATTCAGCCGCAATCTTCGGTATTACGTTTTCATCTTGCACCCTGATAAAAAATAATCAAATTTAATTGACGGAATTTTTATATCAATGGGCTATATTAACGATTAAACGTATGAATGTGTCTGAATTGTAATTGTTCGATTCAATATTAACTGAAAAACAATGGACTCACAGTTGCATCGGCTTCTTACATCCACATGGATAACGCTCATTTTGCCTTTTATATTGCAAAAGTAGAAATAAACGTTAAAAACATATATATACACATATATAATTGATAAATATATATATATATATATATATATATATATATATTTATTTATATACTTATTAATGAATTAATATTTTTATTTATAAATAAATTATTAAAATAAAAATGATAAACATAAATTATAAATAAATATATAATAAATATATAAATTTATTATTTAATTTTGACTTTATTAACGTTAAAGTTTTTTAGACGCAAGGAAATAAAAACTACGTTTATTGTTACTAAAAATTTGAGATTTGAAACGAATTGGTAGGAAATCTCATTAACTTACCCCTTCGCGCATCCACATCTATCTGGTTGTCTAGTGTAGAGAAATTAGTGAGTATTATTAATATCAACGTTGACAATGCCATAATTACAGTGTCACTGGTCATAGAAAGCGTAATCCTTTTTCGCACGTCCAACTCCGTGAGAAATAAAGCAACGAGTTCTACCCCGAAGCGAAACCTCCTCCGGAGGAAGACGCGCGTGCATGACCAGTCTGACTCACTTTTCGCTTTTCTGTCTCAGTAATTCTCTCATTCTCGGCCCGCATACACAACTTTTCTTGCTGTCGGGCAAAAACAGCATTATTTCTGACGTCGTTTTGATTTGGCCCATATGTTGAGGTCGCTCACTTTTCTCTCAGGAAGCCCACATAAAGAAACAGCATCCCGGTAAATCCGATAATGAACTTTCCGAGGTACCAAGAGTAATCACTCGTGCAGTATGACATCGCCGATACGTTGAGCAATCAAGTTGACAGTCACTCGATATGATTCGATATCTAGGTGAAGCTATCGACATTTTAGGCTTGTATTAATAGTGGTTACTTGAAACTTGTCTCGAGTGAAATTATCGGATTTGAATTTGGGAATAGGTGTGAGTGTGTTTTTCATTACAACCGCGATTATGCAAATATAATTTTACGTATATTCTACTTGCAATTCTACTAAGAAACATATCTAATTCTAAATTCAAATCCGCGTAGAGGCAAGTTTCAAGTAAGATATTTAGATTTAAATTTAAACTTAAGATCACAGATGAGTTTATCAGTTAAATTGCAATTTCAAATATAGTATCGTACAGTCATTTGATTGGAACTAAAAAGCTTAAAAGCTAACATGAAAATTAAATAATCGTATTTCATGTGAGACAAGTTTCAAGTAAAATATTCAGATTTAAACTTAAAGTTTGATTGCAATTACAAATATAATACCACACATACGTCATAAAACTGAAACTAATGAACAGATCCAACTCTAAAGCCTGTATTAATAGTTATCATTTAAAGTTTTTCTCATGTGATACTAAAATTTTTAGAGTTAAACCCTTTTCTGTTGAATTATGATATATATGATATTTATATCTGCAATCGCGATTCAGCTGAAAAACTTTCATTTAACTCTGAATTAAAATCATCATTTGAGATAAGTTTGAAATAATAACTATTAAGTCTAAATTCAAATCTGCATATCTTAAATGAGATAAATTTTAACTAACGACTATTAATACGGACTTTACTTTCTCACGGTTCGATTCACATTAACGCAAAGTGATTGCACACGCAAAACTTCTAAATTTCTTCAAAAAAATGAATAAAGATATCAATATAGGATTTTGATCATACAATTTATCATTGTTTTAAGTATTAAAAGTATTAAAAAATTCCTACAAATTTCTTATCGAAACAAACTTGTCGAGACAATTTTTCCAACAAGTTCATTTCTACATGCGTGTTTCGAATCAGTTAGATCTCAGTTAACATCGATTAATACAAGAAAAGAAAATTAAGGTTCTTTTGATATACAATATATCGTGCGAGAGTTTATTAATATAAAGCCAAAGAGAATTTATTATAATATAAAGCCAAAGACTTTCGATTAATACTCATAGAAAAGAATCCTCTGGCTATTTCGTTCTCGTACTGAAAGCAGAGAAGTTGCGCTGTCTTCCCTCGGCCGATGTTTCGTCCCGAGCAGCAAAGTGTAAAACTGTCTCGTCGATTCGAGTATCCGAAGATACATGACATCAGCTCCGCTGTGCTTCCTCGTGATCTCCACCGCGACTAAAGCAAGGAAGATGTTGAATGACCTGTCGACATATTTGCCGTCTTGACAACACCCCCAGGCAGAAGTGCCCAGGAGCGAAGAAAAGAAGGAAAAAGTGCTCGAGATGACACCCCTTCGTTCCACGCTCATTAGGATGAATTCCTCGGTATGTGTCACGCGTGCCTACCGGCACGTGTAAATTTAAACTTGTCTTTAAACTGCGCGACTTTGGGAAAACTAAAAAAATCCGTGGAAACGTGTCAGCGAATAGAACAAACCGAAGAAGATTACAAAAAACCGGAACATCGGGCAATCGTGTATCGTTAGTCTCGGTTAAGATTCTGTTAAATTCTCTACTCTAGTGAAAGTTCTGTTAATGCTTTCCCGGCAGCACAAAATGTTCCAGAATCATTTTGAACGTGTTTAGGATAATGTCAGAACGTTTCGTTCTATCTAGATCAAGTCTTCTGACATATCCTTAAGCATATTCCCGGTTAAAACAGTCTGAGAAGAATTTTAACAAAAATATATACAAATTTCATTGAAATACTATATGACTTTATATGAATTTATCAATTTTATCAGATGTTTCAATTTCTCAAATTTCAATACATGTAAAAAATTATAAATTTTTTCATTTTATATCACACGCAACTTATTTTTAAATATTATACTAAACATTTAAGTATTTATTTGGATGCCTTTCTATGTAATTTTATCATTTCTTATTCAAAAACACGATTTACTTACATAAATTTTTCTTATATGTAATTTTATGAAATCTTTGATACTGTCCACGTCGTTTAATGGAGCGTTTTGAAGCTGTTTAGTGAGAGTTTACTTGAAAAAAATCGTTTTTATTTTCTCATAAATTTTCTAATTATTCATAATAAAATTTTTCAATTTCTTTTCTATCGGAGACACGTTCCAAATCAAACTTTAAGATGCTATTGACACCTCTCTTTCTATTAATATAACTCCAAAGTTTTAAAATAAAATAAAAACCAGACTTAAAGGGTTAAGATTCTGTTGAAGGAAGAGAGAGAATCGTTAATATCACCGAGAACGACAATTAGCCGTGAGTCTTGCGGCCGATACGATAGCGCGATCTCTTTCGTGCCTTCTGTACACGCGTCGTGTTGTGCACCGCAAAAATAGAAGACAGACAATCTCGCTCTACTAACAACGTTATGCGCCGGCAGCTGCAACCATATGGCATTCTTTCTGTGATCTTGCTCTAAGAGCTCGTTAATACGATCCTCTCGGATGTTGCCAACACACAGTTAATATTAGTTTCGAGTATGTTTTCTTAACGTATGAGTGGCACCGTGGACTTCCCACTGGAGTCTCTTTCCCGACGACCACCTGGTTAACATCCTGCGCGTACATCCGATATATTATCTCTCTGAAAGAATATCACATCTGCACTTCGATATGCGATATTTCAGTCGTGCCGGTTGTCTTATGATGAAAATTTAAGTGGAAAATATTCATGCCGTATCGCATCAGCGAAAAACAGGTAACAGTACTGAGAATGTAACAAACGGGAAGTTCATCCGCTTTGTTTCGCGCGTCTCATGCGTGGGCGTGTGTCAGCCTCCTCCTCTGTGCGTCTGACGAAGCATTGCTGCGCTTCCATGTGATCGTGCGAACTGTAATCAAACAAGCCAGCCGGTTAACGAAAGATTTTTCCCTCGAGGAGTTACAAACTACTCGTATAACAAGGACGCGAGGAAGAGAGGCATAGCAATTCATTGGTTCGCGGTCGACGAAAGCGGCGGAGTTTCTCGAGCTCTCGGGCCAATGGCAACACGTCGGCTTTCTAAAAATACATTTTGAATCAGTAGGAGGAGATGAGACGACACCTCCTTCGCGCGAGGGACAAGAAATATTCTTACAAGTATATATTTCTTCCAGCGGAAAGTATCGGTAATCCAGTCGACGCATCCGAGAGAAGCTGAACGGATACGCGAACGAGCTCGTGATATCGGTCCGAATGAGGAAATCGTGTGTGATCTCGCCTGTGATCGGCAACCCTTAACGAAAATATCGCGTGTCTCAAAGGGTAATTATGCATGTATTAGAACAAGGCAAGAGAAACATCCTAGGAGGGCGGTTTTCCCCGCGTAAGAGGCGCGTAATTCGGGGTAGTGTGCGGAATTCACTGTGTTACTCGAGAACTGATTACAATTTCAACACTACGTGCATAATGTGAACTGAATCTGTACGTAGATTACTCTCGAATGTACAATTTGCACGAGAGCGATGACGTTTTCCGACCCAACTCGGTAAACATCATCTAACAGTACCCAGATAGACATATTTCGGCATATTATCTGCTTAGTGATCAGCACAAGTACGTAAAAATGCGTTCTCATAAAAAAATGTCTCCAATATACAAGTCATCTGATGCTAAGAAAATAGCTGCTTATTTTGCCGGAAAAAGAATACAATTAATCCGGAGTTATTATACTAAGAGAAAGGAAATATTTTGATGAAAATTGTAGTGTGATAAATAAATATGTGTTGAAACGAGCATATTTCTAACACGTTAGCTGTTACAACAGTATCACGAAACATATATTAAATGTTTGCATGCTACGTTCTAAATCTCTGTCTGTCTGGGTAGCATTACTTCTATGCTACAGTAATGTAAGTGTAATACAACAAATGTAAAAACTAAAAAATGTAACAAATTTTGTGTATAAGTTACATTGTTGAATGAGAAATTAAAACATATTGATGTAGTGTTATTACTGGTTGGTGTTTATAGCCTGCTTAAAAAATCCGATAAGGATTGATGGAAATATAGATACAGATTTCATTGAAATATAGGTACAGATTTCATTGAAATACTATACGACCTTACCTAAACTTATCATTTCTATCGGAATATTCACTTGCTTATATTCCAGTTCATAAAGATTATCAATATCGTAATTTCATTTCATATCGTAATTTATTATCAAATAAATAATATGCTAAGTATAATACTAAGTACAATAAATTAAATATTACACTAAGTATATATATAACGACTAAATATTCATCTGGATACACATTTTTTTATGTAATTTTATAGTTTTTTACCGAAAACATACAATTCAATTAAATAGATCATTCTTATGTAATTCTATCGAGTCTTTTAAGCAGGGTACTGTGAAGCAAATTTAACGCGGCAGATGTTCAACTGAACTCCGATACACTCTGGACCAACTTTTGTCGATTGTCTATCGAATAAACAAGACCCGATATCAATGTTCGTTGATCATCGTAAGCTTGATGACTTTAACTGAAACTTCTATACTTCAGTAGCGGACGGATACGCGATTATGTCGTTCGACGGTGAATGATATTGAGATCGAGATGAAAACCGACGGGGGCACGTCGAATCGTCTGAACCCGAGCATGGAGCAACGTTTGAGAAGTCCCAAATGTGCGAGATGTCGCAACCACGGTGTGATATCCGGTTTGAAGGGTCACAAGAGGTCCTGCGCATGGAAGGACTGCCGATGTCCTTGCTGTTTATTAGTCGTCGAAAGACAGCGGGTGATGGCAGCGCAAGTCGCTCTACGCAGGCAGCAGCAGGCGCAGGGCGACAATCTGCTCTCTTCAACAAACAAATCGCCGACGGATAGCGCGAATCCTTATTACGTTAAAGGGAAATACGACGAGTCGGACACGGTCTGCGGTAGGAAAACGAAGAACTTTCAAAGGCATCATCTACATTTCACGCAGACGAGCATCAGCGTGACACAAGGTTTCTACGGATTGAACGCCATACATGGTTTACCTGGTGCGTACGAGAATCTACAACCAAAATAAATATCTTCAATATTAAGAGTATCCATAAACAGTTGAGAAAGTTATCTTGGAAAAGTAACTCTTGGAAAAGTAACGTCGCTGTTACTCGTGAACTAATGAAAAAAGTAACTCTTTAAGATAATTATTATTATTCTAAAAGTAACAAATCGTTACAATTTCTATTACTTTTTTCAGTCAGTTTTAATGATCTTTTTCTAGAATCCACTTTTGTCCAAAATAACGATAAAATAACGATTATATTTATTATTGTTCTTAAAATGCGCTACTGTTGCTGTTAATTAATGAAAAAATAACGGAAAAAGTAACTTGTAAGTAGTACTTTTTCAACCCTATTCATAAGTAATCAAGTACTTACCACTCTTATCTATATCAGTTTTTTTACTTAAGTTATATAATATATAATAAACATTATATAATATATAATGTTATGTTATATATAATGTTAATGCTATATAATATATAATAAATATTTTCTTAGTATATTAATTGGAAAAAGTATTTAATATTATGCTATAGTTAAGAAAAAATAAAGCTTTGTTAATATATTCTCTTATTATATTGTTATTTAAAAATGAAGGATTTGTCTTATAAATATATTTCATATCGAAATACTCGATTACTTATAAATATTCATAATATATTAGTGAAAATGTGTGTATAGAAAAATGAGATTATGTAAAATCTTATTTGCAAAAAGTTCCTTCCACATTTCAGTGTCATCGCATCCGCGTTTGTTAAGTACTTTATCGTCGCTTGGATGCAATCAAAAGCAAGAAGCTGAATCTACGCTGAAAGTGCAATCCTACCATTCTGCGTATCCGACGATCCCGTGGTTCAACGAGGTAACGCAATCGTATATAACGAACGAGGACCTGAACAATTTTATCTCTACACGACCGGACTCACGGGGTTGCGCTACTACAAACAATGAATCTCGTTTAGAGAAAAAAACACCAATCTCCTTCAGCGTAGAATCTATTATCGGCACAAAGTGATGTCCCCGATGTTTGTATTTTATAATCGTGATAATAATCTTATACATTAATTAAATCAAAATTTTTTATAAATGTTGTTCAAATTGTTTAGTAGAAACGCGAGCCGCATATCAATCGATTTGTATATTGCAATAATGTACAATATATTTTAATGGCTATATATTAAAAAAAATCTGTTATAACAATGCTTATATAGAATTTATTATTCTATACTTGGATATCAACCAGCAAATATATATTCAATATATTTATAACATAACATATGCACGCGCGCGCACACACACACACACACACATACACACAGAACATATACACGCGCATGGGCATACATAAAATTGCTCCTGTTGTATATGCACTTTACACACATCATCTACATGTTAATGCAGCAAATCTGAACGTGACGCTTCCGTGCGATACTCTAATATCATATCATAAATAAAAAATAAATAAAATGATATTACTTGTCGTTCTCGAGAGTTTTGCTGCAACGTTTCATATACACATCCATTTCGGAAAAATCCGACAAAGTGTTAAAAATGATTTCGTACAGAACGCATGGCCACTGCTTCTCTAGAATCTGTAACTTCTGTATGGCGTTTACAGTGAGACTGATTAAATTTAGCAAGTGTACTTTCCCTTTGTGTCTCCAAATAAGATCCTCCTATAAACAGATTGAAAAGATACACGTCCTAGTTAGTCTTACTCTTTGCATTATTATTTTTACAAGTGTATATTTCAACTTACAAATAGCTTGTGATAAAAAAAAAATAATAACGTTGCATTTGTTTTTACTTTATTACCTGTGTCACGTTTCCCTTTCTCCATTGTAATGCTTCCTTGGCAACGACGCTTCTAAGTGCCAAGTCGCAGTTGAATAAAAATTGTTTGGCAGTAAGTTGCTCTCCACTTTGTCTTTGCACTTTTTCTAAATGAAGTCTTTGTAACAGAGGTTGCAATAAAGAATCTGGCAGTGAACATGTTACTATATCTATGAGACCTTCGTATTCTTGGTTCGCGAGTTCAATCTCTTCAGCTGTAATCTGTGGAGAAATTTTTAATTTACCTGAATCATAATAAACGTGATATATTTCTCAATCGAAAATTTTTCAGAATATCGATTCGTATGAATCTTGAATATGAAAAATTACAACTTAACGAGGCTCGATTCTCATTTAACATTCAGAGAAATTTAAATTCATAGAAAATATAAAATTATATAAAAAATTATGTAGCTTCAAGTGTTTGAGAGTATGTTGTACCTCCTTGCCATTGATAATCGTAAGTCCCCAGTGAGCTAATCGAAATATAGCATACATTTTCCAATCTTTAGACACGATAGGATTCCCTGCGTCTATCTGTATACTGGTTAATCCCTGTACTTCAGCTAAAGCATTCAGTTGACCGAGGAGACTGATGTTGGTTTCTTTGAATACGAAATGTTCCGCGTGAGGGAATCTGTTTTTCAGTTTGCTCAGAACCCTCGCCACGTCGTTAAATTGCACATAATTAAATTTTACGACATTAACATCTTCGGCCTTCGATACGTCCCAGGTTTTGTCTATAAAACGCAAAGCACCTTGGCCATATATGTTCAAACATCGACCAACAATTTCAATCAGATAATCCCCGCCTAAAATAAGAGATACAATACCTCACATCGTATTAAAGAAAGAGTAACACGTATGCGACGAAAGAAAAGAAAAATTGAAAATAATAGCCTACCCTGCTCTCTTTCCTTAGGCGCTGCTTGTTGTGGAGTTGGCGGATTTGGCGGAGCAAGGGCCTTGAATTTCGCTCTGGCTGTTGCGGCTCTATTGCTCTTGTAGTATACTACTTTCTTCACTTGAGCGCTCTTAATTCTACTTTTCTCTTTGTCACAATCGTGAGACTTGTGAGCTACTATATTTTTAGGAATTGACGAGGTGCTAGAATCGCTTAACAATGATTTACAACTATCTAAACTACTGGCTTTTGAACTTAAAGAGCAATATCCGGAGGAGCTCACGGTTGATTTTGACTGACAATCGCTCTGTCCATCTTGATTATAAAATACTTTCATATTCTGAAGCAATCTACTGTTTAGGCTTGTGTTCTCACTCATTACTGTATCGCAGTATTTTAATGGTTTCCGAGTTGTGGAGAGACCCGTTTTATCTTGTTCTTGTTTTCCGTTATCTTGATCGTGCAAATTATCCGTTCCAACCGGAGATATATCTTTGGCTGTGATGAGCTTCTTACAAATAGACTTGTCGTAATCTACGGACGAGCCACAATTGTTGGGAGGAAACAGATGATACCTTAAACCGCTCTTCAAGCTTTCGTGACTCTCCGAGCTGTCTAAATCGCTATCCGACGTATTTTCGACGTCGCTAAGCATTCTGATTTTACCTACATTTCCTTTACTATCTTTAGATAATCTCTCCTCGAATTTGTCGCTCGTTAAACTATCTACTATTGAACCTAATATAGGTGGAAGTTTGAATTCCAAAGGATACGATCTAGATGTATCTTCCAGTTTGAATAAATTGTCGCTAGAGCTGCTTCTCTTTTTTATATGTATCTTCCTTGCCTCCACGTTTTCGTTGATAGATGTTAAGCTGCCAAAGCCTTTTGCTTTAGTCTTATCTAAACTCTTTGGTTTCATAGTATTAAATTTATTTGGGTTTTGTATATGTAGCATATTGATATTGTTGCCTTTGTTGTTGCTCGCCGTTTTATTAGAATTGTTAACAGAGATTTTACTTCTAGATCTAAGAAGTTCCCAATTTATCTTGGCATTCGATATTACTTCTTCCCTACGTACGTTCATGCAAACTTGCGTACTAAGATCAAGGAACGCCGAATTAGACTGTTCCTTCGAAAATCTCCAAGCCATTGCTGTTCTCCGAATCTGTTCGCTAATCTGCATTGTTGATAACAGTTGAAGATTTGGCAGATATGACACGAGAAACGAGATATAGTCGGCATTTAAAGTCACTGGATTACCATCTATTGTGATTTCTTTAATTTGCAAGGCTTTCGCGAGGCTACCCATATCTTCGATTCTAAAAAACGTTAATTTGATATATATGAGATCATACAATTGTTGATTGAACCAAGGTTGTGCCGTAAATTTCAAGATAATGTTTATGTATACACAATCTTCTTTTGTATAGACAAAGTAAATACTATGTAAAACATTGTAAATTAAAATATACAAAAAGGAAAAATTAAATTCAGAGACAGTTATTGTATTTGTTTTGGAATTAATTATAAATGTGATGTTTTAAAAAGATAACTAATTGCATGAAGTTTTCACTTTATTGTGACAGAATGATAGATTTAACTCTGAAGACAAAAATGTAACCAGAAAATTCTATGAATTTCAATTTGTTTAGGAAACAATATTTATAAATTTACACTAGTATTCTAAAGATTAAGTAAAAATATAAACTTTTCTTAATTAATTTTTGAGTAAGTTGTACATCCTTTAAACAACATCTATAAGTTACTTACTAGTTACATTCAACAGAGAAAGCTGCTTTGCAACTATTGTAAAATTCGTGAATATGATTGGTATATATTCTTAAATTAAGCCAAGATTGAGAGCATATATCAATCAGATTTACGAATTTTGTAAAACAGCTTTATCTGCTAAACGCAGTCATTGTCTACATAGATGAAATTTTATACATAGATTACGTTGTCTATACGTAGATATAGAATATTATAATTTACGTGTAATGCTCCAAATCCAAATTAAAAGATTGTTTTTACATGCTACTTACTTATGAATGTCATTGTTGCTCAAATACAATTTTTGCAACTGTGGCGTTTCACCAAATCCTAACAACTTTTTCAGTTTATTTCGACGTAGATTGAGTTCTTTTAGCGATGTCAAGCCTTGAAAATCACTGCAGCCTATAGTCTTAATACTATTCCCAGCTAAATTGAGTACTTTTAACGATGACAGATCTTCCAAGCCAGTAATCTGCTGAATCTGGTTACCGTGCAAGTCCAAAACTTCCAACTTTGAAAGCTGCTTCAAACCCTCAATCTTTTTTATTCTGTTCTTCCCTATCAATAGTACTCTTAAATTCTCCAAAAGATCGAGATCGCATATTTTTTCTATTTGATTATCATATAAGTCAAGAAATACTAGTTTTGTTAAATGAGAGAAGTTGAAGCTCTCGATCTTAGTTAGAAGATTGTGCTGAAGAGACATTAATCTCAACCTGGGCTCTCCAATCACATTGGGAAACGTTGTCAGACCCCGTCTGTCGAGACATATTCTGTCAGGGTTCCTCTCCCGTTCGGCGGGAGTTCTCGATGCCACGACTGTCCTCGTTTCTCCTGTCCATTGCAATGTGACCACGTCGCATATCCCAGCCTCTGCATGTCCGATTTCAAATTGAGTTCCCGTGGAGCTGCCAATGCCAAATTCATGATTTGTACATGTAAGAAAAAATACCTTGTGTAATTTATATTTAACAAAGAATTATGAATATTCAGAAAAAGTCACGTATCATTGAATCTTTTCAATCTGATATTGTAGCAGCAAAAATTATTGAAAGAATTTCCAGAAAAAACTAAGTAGGACACAACATCGGTTGTCAATATTATAACATGAAATTGAATATCTTCATGCTTATTCTAAGGAATCATAAGTTACTGTTGTGGAAAAAGCATGAAAATTTGCAATTTGTAATGGCTTTGTTACATCTCGATAACTAATATTACATCTTCACTGATTCTTGCTAAAAATTGCTTTTAAACATGTTTCTTACAATATATATATATCAATATCAGCAAGGTATGATTTTTTTTAATATATGCCCACAAAAGACTTGCCTTGCTGTTTTATCTTGCCAAGAATTACCTGAATGAATTGTAGGAATGCTTGGATAGCTTTGGAGGTACTGGTGCACCTGGCAAAATTGGCAAAGCTGCTGCTATTGTCAGAAACTGGTTTTCCTCTGGAACACTCGTTCGAATGGTTGATTTACCTTTCACGTCGAATGATACTTTTCTTGTCTGCAAAAAGACATATTGTTTATACAGATTGGTATCGATCGATGGAAACAAATTATGACAGCCTAACCATATATATGTATAATATATATATATATATTTATATATATATATATATATATATATATCCCATAACAAATGTGAACAGGAAAATAATTCCAGTCGGTTATGTCGCCTCTACTTGATATAAACGCGTCTATTTGAAACAGCAGTTATTCGGAATGATATATTTTAAAAGTATGGCCCTTACCCGCGTATTGTTACCCAATGGCATTACATAACCGAGACATAGGAATGTAATCAACCCGTTAAAGTGATAAACTGTATATTTTGTACCAAACATTTGAAAGCGTTTCACATGTTTGCGGTGTGCTTTAATTAACGAGCATTTCCGAAAAATCGTAGTTTTACCTACGATCCCAGTCGTTGGTAGAAACGATATTTATTTCTTGTTTGTCATTACGCGCATGATCGCGATATGGGGGAACGGGACATGCTGATGCGCGTAATGGCGGTAGAATAGGAGAGCTCAAAAATCTATCCGGAAAGTGAAGTAATCGATTATATTTCAAAGACGTCAAAAATAATCCGTCAATTGCTTCACACATATTTAATATTTAATAGATTATTATCAAAATAATTAAATGAAGCGCGCTGATGCACTCACCGTTACGAAGAAACAGGAGAGAGAGACGTACTGCGATCGGAATCGTCGCGCCACGAATGTCGCAGGCAGCACATCCGGGCAGATGGCGCGGTCGTGACATCTTTTTAAGCGCTTCAAAGTCTTTCAAGCGTTTAATGGACCGCATCACCATAATACACTCTCGGAAGTTCTTTAAAAACGAACAAACCTTAAGCGTCTTCTACAATGGCAGTAGGAGTAGTAGTAAGAAATAAGCAGTAAGCAAATTGACCAATTCCATTCTCACGTTTCAAAAATAATCGATTGTGATTGGTCTATTTACTTACTGCTTATTTCTTACTACTACTCCTACTGCCATTGTAGAAGACGCTTTATACATTTCGAAATCGATTTCGATTCTTCACACACGATTAGTTTCACGAAAATATTTCTGTTTATGGAAGTGTTTTCTACTAATTATAACAAGGCCTTTATTCTTGAAATAGTTGCGTATACGTAAGTTTTACTGCGCAGGTTTAGTCATACCATAAAATAATTGCGCAATGAAAATTACGTATACGCAAAAATAAGTAGTAAGAAGTAGGAAGTAAGAGTAAGAAATTGACCAACCACA